TAAGGGCAGTGATATATTGTCTAGGAAGATTAGTAGAAAAAGATTCACATAAAGTTGCAGTGAGAAGGCCCTGTATGTAACCCTTCTGGAAGTTACTGTCACTGTGTCTGTGGTTTCTGGTAACTAGGTTGAGTTGATAGTTAGGTTTGCGTATGTTAGTGGTAAATTTGAGTCCCAGAGTCAGTGCTTGTTTCTCGTAATCAGTTAAGGTGCATAACGATAGGTTGTTTATCAGGGATTCCCGTCCCATTTCCTTCCATCGACTGTTAGTGCAGAGGTACTGAAGTTTATGATTGAGTTTGATCTTCTGTTGGAGGTTGGCTGTGGTGACTGTGCTGAGAATATGCTCAGCAGTGTGGTGGTCAATCTGAAGATTGATCCTCATATTCCTTGCAGTTTCAAAGGTTTCCTTAGTGATGTTAGAAGGTTCTTCAGCACATTCAGTGAAGTAAGCTTGGGTAGCTGGAGAGAAAGGTTGTTTGGAGTTGGAGAGTTGCGTAGGAGTAGACTTAGGGATCACTTTCTCAGCCAGGCAGTCTTGTAGGAAGTTGTGTCTGTTGCGAAAGCTGTTAGCACAAAGAAGGTGTCCAAATAACATCTGCATGAAATGTCCATTATGGTGCGGTGTCCAACAGATTGTATATATGTTGGTAGAATTACCGACAATATGTAAGTAAAAGGACACAAGTGCAACTAATGTGACATTTTATTGTGGCAACATTTCGCTCTCCAGGAGCTTTGTCAAGTCGTTACAAACAATATATGGACACAGAGGGTATATATAAGCTTAGAGTGAGGTGCAGTGCTAGCAGTGGTAGCAGTAGTGATACAATATGGTAGAACACTTAACTTGCACATGAGTAAAAGGATATAAAATCTATTACTTGGGTAGCATAGATATGTATGTGTGTAGGTATGTATGCATGTAAGTGAAAAACGACTTATACGTAGGGTTCACTACTATCTTATAAATTTAGGACTTTGGTAAAAAAATCATCTGATCTCTCAATCTTAACCAGATCACCCAAAACAACTGCTAATTAGTTATATTATGTGACATTTAGGCTTTTAACTTCTGTCAGTCCATGAAATATTACTGCCTGAACCATTATTTATAATATTGTTTTTATTATGTGCAACTTCAAGATTATTATACGTATAAACCTCCATATTGGCTACCATGCATTAGTATTAAGATTAAATAAGATTGTAATACAATTAACCACTATTTCTTGTCTAGTTTTAAGTAGTTACTATGTACTATAATCTTGTCTAGTTTTAAGTAGTTACTATGTATTAGGATTAGTCTGCCCAAAATGCACCAGCATGATAGTGGCATTCTTTGTACTGTACTTAGCAAACCAAAATTGTAATTACACATTGTAACTTTTGCAAAGAAATAAACTTTTTTTTTTTTCAACAAACCGGCCGTATCCCACCAAGGCAGGGTGGCCCAAAAAGAAAAACAAAAGTTTCTCTTTTTAAATTTAGTAATCTATACAGGAGAAGGGGTTACTAGCCTCTTGCTCCCGGCATTTTAGTCACCTCTTACAACACGCATGGCTTACAGAGGAAGAATTCTGTTTCACTTCCCCATGGAGATAAGAGGAAATAAACAAGAATAAGAACCAGAAAGAAAATAGAAGAAAACCCAGAGGTGTGTGTGTGTGTATATATATATATATATATATATATATATATATATATATATATATATATATATATATATATATATATTTATATATATATTTTCAACAAGTCGGCCGTCTCCCACCGAGGCAGGGTGACCCAAAAAAGAAAGAAAATACCCAAAAAGAAAATACTTTCATCATCATTCAACACTTTCACCACACTCACACATTATCACTTTTTTTTCAGAGGTGCTCAGAATACACAGTTTAGAAGCATACACATACAAAGATACACAACATATCCCTCCAAACTGCCAATATCCCAAACCCCTCCTTTAAAGTGCAGGCACTGTACTTCCCATTTCCAGGACTCAAGTCCGACTATATGAAAATAACCGGTTTCCCTGAATCCCTTCACTAAATATTACCCTGCTCACACTCCAACAGATCGTCAGGTCCCAAGTACCATTCGTCTCCATTCACTCCTATCTAACACGCTCACGCACGCTTGCTGGAAGTCCAAGCCCCTTGCCCACAAAACCTCCTTTACCCCCTCTTTCCAACCCTTTCGAGGATGACCCCTACCCCGCCTTCCTTCCCCTATAGATTTATATGCTTTCCATGTCATTCTACTTTGATCCATTCTCTCTAAATGACCAAACCACCTCAACAACCCCTCTTCTGCCCTCTGACTAATACTTTTATTAACTCCACACCTTTTCCTAATTTCCACACTCCTAGTTTTCTGCATAATATTTACACCACACATTGCCCTTAAACAGGACATCTCCACTGCCTCCAACCGTCTCCTCGCTGCTGCATTTACCACCCAAGCTTCACATCCATATAAGAGTGTTGGTACTACTATACTTTCATACATTCCCTTCTTTGCCTCCATAGATAACGTTTTTTGACTCCACATATACCTCAACGCACCACTCACCTTTTTTCCCTCATCAATTCTATGATTAACCTCATCCTTCATAAATCCATCCGCCGACACGTCAACTCCCAAGTATCTGAAAACATTCACTTCTTCCATACTCCTCCCCAATTTGATATCCAATTTTTCTTTATCTAAATCATTTGATACCCTCATCACCTTACTCTTTTCTATGTTCACTTTCAACTTTCTACCTTTACACACATTCCCAAACTCATCCACTAACCTTTGCAATTTTTCTTTAGAATCTCCCATAAGCACAGTATCATCAGCAAAAAGTAACTGTGTCAATTCCCATTTTGAATTTAATTCCCCAAAATTTAATCCCACCCCTCTCCCGAACACCCTAGCATTTACTTCCTTTACAACCCCATCTATAAATATATTAAACAACCATGGTGACATTACACATCCCTGTCTAAGACCTACTTTTACTGGGAAGTAGTCTCCCTCTCTTCTACACACCCTAACCTGAGCCTCACTATCCTCATAAAAACTCTTTACAGCATTTAATAACTTACCACCTATTCCATATACTTGCAACATCTGCCACATTGCTCCTCTATCCACTCTATCATATGCCTTTTCTAAATCCATAAATGCATTAAAAGCTTCCCTACCTTTATCTAAATACTGTTCACATATATGCTTCAATGTAAACACTTGATCTACACATCCCTACCCACTCTGAAACCTCCTTGCTCATCCGCAATCCTACATTCTGTCTTACTTCTAATTCTTTCAATTATAACCCTACCGTACACTTTTCCTGGTATACTCAGTAAACTTATTCCTCTATAATTTTTACAGTCTCTTTTGTCCCCTTTCCCTTTATAAAGGGACTATACATGCTCTCCGCCAATCTCTAGGTACCTTCCCCTCTTTCATACATTTATTAAACAAAAGTACCAACCACTCCAACACTGTATCCCCCCTGCTTTTAACATTTCTGTCATGATCCCATCAGTTTCCAGCTGCTTTACCCCCTTTCATTCTACGTAATGCCTCACGTACCTCCCCCACACTTACATTCTGCTCTTCTTCACTCCTAAAAGATGGTATTACCTCCCTGACCAGTGCATGAAATTACTGCCTCTCTTTCTTCCTTAACATGTAAAAGTTCCTCAAAATATTCTTGCCATCTACCTAATACCTCCATCTCCCCATCTACTAACTCCCCTACTCTGTTTTTAACTGACAAATCCATACTTCCCTAGGCTTTCTTAACTTGTTTAACTCACTCCAAAATTTTTTCTTATTTTTATTAAAATTTCTTGACAGTGCCTCTCCCACTCTATCATCTGCTCTCCTTTTGCACTCTCTCACCACTCTCTTTAAACCTTTCTTTTACTCTCCATGTACTCTGCTCTTCTTATAACACTTCTGCTTTGTAAAAACCTCTCCTAAGCTACCTTTTTCTCTTTTATCACACCCTTTACTTCATCATTCCACCAATCATATATATATATATATATAATATATATATATATATATATATATATATATATATATATATTCTTTCTTTCTTTCTTTCTTTCAACACACCGGCCGTATCCCACCGAGGCGGGGTGGCCCAAAAGGAAAAACGAAAGTTTCTCCTTTTACATTTAGTAATATATACAGGAGAAGAGGTTACTAGCCCCTTGCTCCTGGCATTTTAGTCGCCTCTTACAACACGCATGGCTTACGGAGGAAGAATTCTGTTCCACTTCCCCATGGAGATAAGAGGAAATAAACAAGAATAAGAACTAGAAAGAAAATAGAAGAAAACCCAGAGGGGTGTGTATATATGTGCTTGTACATGTATGTGTAGTGTGACCTAAGTGTAAGTAGAAGTAGCAAGACGTACCTGAAATCTTGCATGTTCATGAAACAGAAAAAAGGACACCAGCAATCCTACCATCATATAAAACAATTACAGGCTTTCGTTTTACACTCACTTGGCAGGACGGTAGTACCTCCCTGGGCGGTTGCTGTCTACCAACCTACTACCTAGGAAATAAACCTTTTTCTATCTTTATTTTTATCTGATGTTTTGGGTATCTGCGATAGGTCTTGGAACGTATCCCTATGGATATGGGGGGAATATATATATATATACAGTGGACCCCCGGTTAACGATATTTTTTCACTCCATAAGTATGTTCAGGTGCCAGTACTGACTGAATTTGTTCCCATAAGAAATATTGTGAAGTAGATTAGTCCATTTCAGACCCCCAAACATACACGTACAAACGCACTTACATAAATACACTGACATAATTGGTCACATTCGGAGGTAATCGTTATGCGGGGGTCCACTGTATTTTTTAAATGTGTTAGACGTCTCCCACTGAGGCAGATGGGAGATAGCCATACATACATTCATATAATTACTTTTCAAGGATAATAAAAACTAGATTCATGATATATTTTTATTTCAACAGGTGATGTCAGGAAAGTTAATTGTTGGCTTAAACCCTCACGGAGAAATAACTTCTCTAGTTTTCCCAGGCAGAGTGTCACTTCAGAAAGAGCAGATCGTGAGTTGCATTCGTAATGCATTTTCTAAAGCTAAATCTTCAGCTGAAATGGTTCAGAAAGCAGTAGATGAAGATATAGAAAAGAGAAAATCACTGATCAAGCCAGAGGGCTTTATCAATTGTCTTGCTTCTGATGCCAGATATGCAAGACAGAGAATCATGAGAAAAATAAAAACTACAAGTAAAACTGAATTTAAAATCCCACAAGAACCCGTAGAGGATCTTCAGGAATCCATGGATGAAATTCAAATTAAATTTGATCCATTTGATTCAGATGAAGTAACCACACCTATGAAAGTAAAGCAACACACTGCAAAGAAAGTAAAAGTTAGTAAGCCAAGGGAAGTAGCAAGTGAGAGTGAAGAGGAAGAAGAAGAAGGAAAATTAACTTCACAAGATTTGCAGTAATTTATACTTAATATGTGGTGTATTTTAGGGTAAATTAGGCAACAAGTTAGTACATACACTAATTCAGTAATTTTTGTATGACTGAATGATTTTAGTAAATACTATACAATATTACATTTTTTTTTTTATATAACCTAACATTAACCCTTAAACTGTCCAAACATAGATCTGCGTTCACGTGCGTAGTGCTCCGAACGTAAATCTACGTTTTATTTTACATGCTTTCAAATGTAAAAAAAAAAAAAGTAGATCTATATTCGGAGTGCTACACATGTGAACGTAGATTTAAGTTTGGACAGTTTAAGGGTTAATATAATTACTGTGTTATAGTTGTATTGGTAATCATTTAAGAAAGCTTATCAGAATTGGCCCTGTTGCATTACACTACAGCCTCTCCTCACTTAGCGACGTACTTGTTTATCAACAACTCGGACTTACAATAGGCTTTCTGACAAGTATGCATACCTAAATAATGTATATTAGAGCTGATTTTCTCTATCCTGTTTATGATAATATATGGTACAGTATTGTATAAACATTTAAAAAGTATACTAAAAATGTTATAAATGGTGCAAAGGTGACATTAAAACAATATCAAAGATGGTTGACACAAACCCATTGCCATCATAGTTATGCTCCTTGCTTAGCGACTAATTCATTCACTGACGTGATCTTAGGAACGAAACTTCGTCGTTAAGTGAGGAAAGGCTGTACTCTATTTTGGAAAAAATCACAAATGAAGTTTTTGTACCCTTTTTTTTAGTATTATTTATATACTTAGTAATCAGAAGAGTTATTCGAGTGTGCAATATTTTTTTTTTAATACACTAGCCGTTTCTTACTGAGGCAGGGTAGCCCAAAAATGAAACACTTTAACCATTATTAGACATATCATTGTCTTTACAGAGGCATGCAGATACAACAATTCAGATTTCACTCCAAACAGCATATCCCAAACCCTGCTTTAAAGTGCAGGCACTGAACTCAAGTCCAGCTAACCGGTTTCCCTGAATCCCTTCACAAAATATTACGCTGCTCACACTCCAACAGCTCATCAAGTCCAAAAAACCATTCGTCTCCCCTCACTCCTATATGACATGCTCACACATTCCTGCTGTATGTCCAAGCCCCTTGCACACAAAACCTCTCTTTACCCTCTCCATTCTTTCCTAGGATGACCCCAACCCTTCCTTCCCTCCACTACAGATTTATACACCCTCCAAGTCATCCTGTTTTGCTCCAACCTCTCTCAGTGACCAAACCGCCCCAACAACCCCTCCTCAGCCCTCTGAATAACATTAGTAGCTCCACACCTAATTTCCACATTATGAATTTTCTGCATAACATTTATGCCACACATTGCCCTTAGACACGACATCTCCACTGCCTTCAGCCTCCTTGTCACTGCAACCTTCACAACCCATCTTTACACCCATGTAAGTGTTGGTACCACTATACTCTTATATGATCCCTTCTTTGCCTCCATGGATAATGTTCTTTGTCTCCACAGATACCTCAATGTACCACTCGCCTTTTTTCCTTCATCAATTCTATGGTTTACCTCATCCTTCATAAACCCATCCACTGACAACTCTACTCCCAAATATCTGAACACATTCACTTCTTCCATACTCTCTCCCTCCAATCTGATATCCAATTTTTCCTTTTCTAAATTGTTTGATACCCTCATCACCTCCATTTTACCTATGTTCATTTTCAACTTTCTTCCTTTACACACCCTTCCAAACTCGTCCACTAACCTTTGCAACTTCTCTTCTGAATCTCCCAAAACACAGTATCATCAGCAAAAAGTAACTCGGTCAATTCCCATTTTGTATTTGAATCTGCATAATTTAATACCACCCCTCTTCCCAACTCCATCTATAATTATGCTAAACAACCCCTAAGACCTACTTTTACTGGAAAGTAATCTCCCTGTCTCCTACACACCCTAACCTGAACCTCAATGTCCTCATAAAAACTCTGTACAGCATTTAGTTAGTTACTACCTATTCCACACACTTGCAATATCTGCCACATTGCTCCTCTATCCACCTTATCATATGCCTTTTCTAAATCTGTAAAAGCAATGAAAACTTCCCTACCTTTATTTAAATATAGTTCAGTTTTATGCTTTAGTGTGAACACTTGGTCTACATATCCCCCTACCCCTTTTAAAGCCTCCTTGTTTATCTGCAATCATGCTCTTTATCTTAGCTCTATTTCTTTCAGTATTAACCCTTTGACTGTTTCGGTCATATATATACGTCTTATGAGCCAATGTGTTTGATGTATATATACTCAAAAATTCTAGCGGCTTCAAATCAAGCGGGAGAAAGCTGGTAGGCCCACATGTGAGAGAATGAGTCTGTGTAGTCAGTGTGCACAGTATAAAAAAAATACTGCAGCAAGCAGTGCATAATGAGAAAAAAAAACTCCAACCGTGTTTATTGATTAAAATGCTGACTTTGAGGTGTGTTTTGTATAGTTTTTATGGTTATATTCTCGTTTTCATAGTCACATTTGATAGAATAGAAAACATATTATAGAAATGGAGGTGATTTTGATTGGTTTTACTATGAAAAGGACCTTGAAATGGAGCTCAAAGTTGGGGAAATGTTTGATTTTTTCCGATGTTAAAGAGTAAACAAATGATGCCGTTGTCCAATAAATGTCCAATTAGCCATTCTAATATGCAATCATGAATGGGTTGACATTATTTATACAATTATTACAATATTGCAGTAGTCTGCATAACAGTAAATCTTCTATTTTTTGTTTTAATAAAAATTCAAAATAGAAAGCAAGAGTAATATCAGAGGGGCCTGGAGACGTGACTGATGAACAAAGAAAATGTTATTTTAGAGCCAAGAATGTCTGCATTGTTCATTCTGGACCCTATTTTCAAATTGGCATATTTTTTAATTTGTGTGAAATTGGCCAAATTGCCAATTTCTGACCACTTTATTGGGTAGTTGAAATCGGTAAATGGGCAGTTTCTTGTACTTAATCGATAGAAGAAATGGAGTTCTAAAGAAATAGCTATGAGTTTGGAACAGTGGAATTAGCCGAGAATAGGGCTCAAAGTGGGCGAAATTGCCGATTCGTAAATATCGCCAAGGTTACTAACTTCGTGAGAGCGTAATTCCATGAGTTTTCCATCAAATTTCGTACTTTTGGTGTCATTATCATTGGGAAAAAATTCTCTATCATTTCATAAGATTTTTTTTTTTTTTTTTCAAATATTTTGCGACACCAAGAGACGCCTCAGGATTTGGGGTTGCGACAGTCAGAGAATTAACCCTATCATACACTTTACCAGTTATACTCGGTAGTCTTATTCCCCTATAATTTTTACACTGTCCTTTGTCTCCCCTTCCCTTTATGTAAAGGAACTAAGCATGCTCTCTGCCAATTCCTAGGTACCTTTCTCTCTTTCATACATTTATTTAACAAAAGTACCAACCACTCCAAAACTGTATCCCCACCAGCTTTTTAACATTTCTGTCATGATCCCATCTATTCCAGCTTCTTTACCCCCTTTCATTATACCCAATGCCTCATGCACCTCTCCCACACTCTCCTCTGGCTCTTCTACACTCCTAAAAGATGTTATACCTCCCTTGCCAATGGTTGAATCACTGCTTCCCTCTTTTCATCAACATTTAACAGTTCCTCAAAATATTCTCGCCATCTTCCCAATATGTACCTCCAACTCTCCATATACTAATTCTCCTATTCTGTTTTTAACTGTCAGGTCCATTTGTTCCCTAGGCTTCCTTAACCCGTTTATCTGCAAAACTTTATTCTCAGCAAATTTTGTTGACAGCGTCTCACCCAGTCTATCATTTGCTCTCCTTTTGCACTCCCTTGCCACTCACTCTTCACCTCTCTTACTCTCCATATACTCCACCCTTCTTATATCACTTCTGCTTTGTAAAAAGCTCTCATAAGCAATCTTTTTCTCCGTTATCACGCCCTTTTCCTCCTCATTCCACCAATCACTCCTCTTTCCTCCCACACCAACCCTCCTATATCCACACACTTCTGCCCCACTTTCTAACATTGCATTTTTAAAACTATCCCACCCCTCTTCAACTCCTGCAATACCTATACTCTCACTAGCCCACCTTTCTCCCAATAGTTGCTTATATCTCACCCTAACTTCCTCCTCCCTTAGTTTATAAACTTTCTAAATTAAGCCTGAATACCTTCCATCCCCTCCCCCCGCAGGTGCTGTATAATCCTATGGGTTTAGCACTTCCCCATTATATAATAATAATAATAATACAATATAATATGTATAATAATAATATAATAATAATACTATAATTTATAATAATATGTGCTGTAATAACAAGTGTGCTTCAAAAGGCCATCACTAGATGGCAGTGAATACCACAACAATGTGGGAGCGGGAATGGCCGCCTCCACTTGTCACAGTGACATATTTTATTCTAGAGTACATATCAGGTTTGTATGTTACAGTGGACCCTTGGGTAACGATTTTAATCCGTTCCAGAGAGCTTGTCCTTAACTGATTTTGTCGTTAGCTGAATTAATTTTCCCCATAAGAAATAATGGAAATCCAATTACAGTAATCCGTTCCAAACACCCAAAAGTATTAAAAAAAAAAAAATTTTTTTCAAATGAAATATACAATTTCCTACACAGAAAACAATGAGACATGAAGAATAAATACATGAAGAATAAATGACACTTACCTTTATTGAAGATTTATTGATGAGATGGGAGGAGGGGAGATGATGGAGGGGTATTATTGTTTGGAAGGGGAATCCCCTTCCAGAAGGACTTTAGGTAGCAAGTCCTTTTCCTTTAAGAGGATAAATAAGTATACAAGATATGATGTAGGGCGAAATGACAGTAGTTTGTTGGAGTATGTATTGGTAGATAAAAGACTGTTGAGTAGACTTCAGGATGTACATGTTTATAGAGGGGCCACAGATATATCAGATCACTTTCTAGTTGTAGCTACACTGAGAGTAAAAGGTAGATGGGATACAAGGAGAATAGAAGCATCAGGGAAGAGAGAGGTGAAGGTTTATAAACTAAAAGAGGAGGCAGTTAGGGTAAGATATAAACAGCTATTGGAG